TTATTGACAGTTATTTCCCTTTCCCAAAAGCTGTGTCACAATCATTTTTGTATAAGTCAAAGATACTATACGTAGTCAAATACTTCGCCTACAATAAGTATTTTGTTAATAATCACAATAATCTTCTTCGGAATGCACTTTGACCAAATTTAATTATACATTAGATTGTTAAAAATAGAAAATATTTCTCAATAGTTTTTAATGTACACTTGTAAGGTCAGATGTATTAACAATTTTATTTTAAAAGTTGTAGAAACTTAGAATATTACCTTCGGGTCATAGACTCATAGTTTATCTGGTGACCTTAGATGGCTACAGAACTTTAATAACACAGAGTAGAATTTTATCCAGTACTATAGTGTCAAAAACCATCCTTTCAAAATGAGCCTGCGCCCTGCGATTGATGTGTTCCCTTCACAAAAGAAAGGAAATTAAAATTAGACCCTATTAAGTTTGTTAAATTGCATCGAAATAAATTAGGTGCTAACATTGCTTTGGTCAAATTTTATGACAAAGCATAATACTCGTATAATATATTGAAAATAATAAAAAGAGGGGAGTCAAAAATTGATGTTGTAATTTTCATTCCCTAACTAATGCCTTAATCTCAATATAGATGCCTTGATGATGACACATCCAGTGATGATTTTCAATCCAAAATGGCTTGAGGAGGACGTGCTCCAGTACTTAGCTTCTTCAATATATAGTCGTGAGTCTATCAAGGATCAGAGAAACATCAGAGCTCTACAATTTTAAAAGGCGCTCTAATAAATAAAGATTGTATACAGATGGGAATTCTAAAAGTTACTTCGAGTTACCTTGCATTTACTTCGAGAAGCACAACCTGGAGGAAATAAAAAGCCAAGCCAACATAAATATTAATGTTGGAGGAATTCTAAAAATTACTTTGAACTTACCTTGCATTTACTTCGAGAAGCACCTCAAATATACCACACACGTTTCCCCCCTAAAAGACTCATCATATCTCGGCAATAAGACCTTTCTCTCCATTTAATGCTATTCCTTGACAGCACCTATTATACTTGCACATTTTTTGAATTTTGAATACATAATCCCGCCCAAATTCCCTCCCAAACTCCTCCCCACACTTTTCTGTTTTACTATATATATAGATATAGATTAATATATTTGAAGATAAGTTTGGTAGTGTTGGGGTATTGGGTCCAAGCCCAAATACCACCAGTCGGCCCACCTAGCATGCATGAGGGTTCAATTTTCGCACGAGATCCGTCGATCGACAATATTCTGATACTTGGTGTTTTCTCGGATAGTGCTAGTTGTATGTAAGAGGGCTCCACAAAGCAGCCAGTGAGAAGGCCAGAATTGACGAGAAGCGCATTTAGTGCACTAGATGTGGAGGATTTTATGATTATGGGCTATTCATTGAGGACTTGACACATCATCACCTACACCTGTTACATTTGAGTATAAACACTAACATTTATTTCATTATAAAGGGTTAACAAACTTGCATGCTATAGTTTAGATCTCTCTCTAGCTCTTTTGTAATAGCTTAGTGTAGAACATGAGTTCGCGATTTGAGCTCGGTAAGTCCGTAATATAACTTGTCCCACTTTACTCATCATCCTTTCTCGCCAACCGTTGAAGAACTCTTTGGATGAATTATTGACACGTGGCAACATCGTTGTACGAAAAAAATGACATGTGTCTACACCATAAATGAAAAACTATAAACCTTCTAAAACTTTACTCTTATGTATTCCAATATTATATTATAATATATATAGCCTCCTCTATGAGATCGTACTCGGAATCCTAGAGAGTTCCGACAAACTTGGATGACAACGGCGGTGGCTTGGGTCGCTCTGGCTGGAGGGCCGGGAGCGACGCCACGTTCTTTTGTTGAGGTCCTTGCAACCAATAAGGATATCTATTTAAAGGTTCCTTTTAGACATCGAGGGATGCCTGTGGTTCAGTTCACGGAGGAGGAGTTCTCGATTAGGGTAGAACAACACAAATTTGCGTTGGTCGGATCTTTTATTCGTGGACGACTCCTTATGGCCACCATTCGTGCTGAGATTGAGAAAATTGGCTTTCATAGTTCACTGTCATTAAGGTTGCTCGATCAACGACATGTTTTACTAAAATATTCATCAGATGAGGATTTTCAAAGATGTTGGCTTCGAAGGTTTGGATCATTAGAGGTTTCAGAATGAGAATAACAAAATGGACGACAAATTTTATACCTGATGTTGAATCGCCAATAGTGTCAGTGTGGATTACTTTAGATGGATTACCTCTGCACGATAAGAGTGATTTATTTTCAATAGAGGGGATGGTTTGCAAGCCTATGAAGGGTGTTGCGGCTACGGAAAATATAATGAGGCCCTCTACGACAAAGGTTTGCGTTGAGTTAGATCTTCTACAGGAGATTCCATCCAAGTTGTTAATTATGAATGGCAGTAGAGAGATTATTCAAAATGTGGCGTATGAAGACCTACCCGAGTATTGTGTTAAATGCAGTAGGCTAGGTCACTCCAACAATGCATGCAACTTACTTAAAGCACGTCAAGAGCAGAGGCGGACCTAGCTTAATAGCAATGGGGGCACATGCCCCCAATAAACTCCCAACAATTACTTTAAAATATTATACTTAATAAAGAATTATTGAATCTGCCCCCATCAATTTGCTCTAACACTTTATTTACTTTAATTTGATCGCACAACACAACATAAATAAACGGATGCCCCCATCAATTTGTTCTAACACTTTATTTACTTTAATTTGACCGCACAGACAACACATCCTAAATCCATTTTTTTTAAAACTTCTATATTTGTCCTCAAGTCTAAGCAATATAAGTAGTGGTAGTTCCACTATTTGAGAAGCAATAGTTTACTTATATTAAGACTTTGAAATCCAAAAGTGATTATAAACAAAATAAAAACTCACACTACCTATTTCAATTACACAAGAATGCCATGTCATTTGAGGTTCGCCGTCTATTTTTCTAAAAAATCACACTATATATTTTATTTATCAATGTCTCATTAAATTTGTCTCTTATTATATTTGGTAATATTTATGCTGCCCAAAGTCGTTTATAGTTTTTAATAAAATCACATTGGACGTGTTTGACATGTGGCAATTAGCGGATAGCGGATTATGTTAGCATGTTGTCAATATCGGATTCAATCAGCGGGTTTAACTAGCGGAATAAGTAGGCGGGTTGCAGAAAGGTGTTTGGTAATTTAGCTGCTTGGCTATAACAATCAGCAGCAAACGCCAACTCAAAACTATCTTATTTGTAGTGTTTCAATTTCAGCGGTTTCACCCAAAAATGCTAGGGCCGAACAACTAATTACTAAACAACGTTTTCACTTATCAAAAACGTCAAAGGGGTCAAACTGCCATTTTTTTGCCGAAACATCATTTTCCAAACACCCCCATTATCTCACTTTCTTTAGGGCGTACCTCATAGAATCAATATCTAAACATGAAAGAATGAAAATAATATCGTTATAAAATTAGTAATGTATTCGCTTGGGTCGACATAGGTGTTTTGGGTTGGATTTACCCAATTTGGGTGCCCCCAACAGTAACAATTTCTGGATCCGCCACTGGTCAAGAGGAGGGGAAGGCTTTTGTTTCAGGCAAGAAGAACGATATCAAAATGGTGGCAAAAGTGAATCATAAGGCTCCGGAGGAATGGGTACAAGTTACTCAGAAAAACAAAGGGACGGATTAAATGATAGTTTCATTGGTTTCTGATAATGCATAATCGTCAAAGTCCAAGGAAGAGTCAGGGGAAACTAAAAAACAACTGCAAGGCCATGCAGAAACAGCAGGAGATATAGTTTTGGTGGAGGAAGTGATGGTAGAGGAATGACTTGTTACTGGGGACCAATATTAGTTGAGAATGCGGAGGTTGGGACAATGGAGATGGACACTGCCTTGGTTGAGGTACCACACCAAACTAGTAATGAAAATAATTCAGTTGCAGCGGAGATTGCGGAAACTCAGGTGGATGATGACTTGAATGCCGAAGGGAATTCCCTCGAGGAGGGGGAGGATGGGTCAAAGATGGACGAGGAGCTTGTAATAGTGGAACAAGAAGGATATGATTCAGAAGGAACATACACAAAATTGGAAGAGGTTATTAAAGAGGCGTGGAAAGGTGTGTGGGGGGAACTGCAAAAAAAAGTGGCTTTAATTAAGAATTCAAAAGCGGATGCTTTGGGAGTGGTAACTAGAAGGAAAATCAAAGATGTGCATCCTCCTCCATCGGTCACTACTAGGTTTGCGGCCAAGAGGAACTCAAAGGATACTGTTTCCTTATGAAGCTCCTTACATGGAATGTTCGTGACCTCGCTTCTTGTGCTCGAGGTTACGAGAAATTGTAAGGCACCATTCACTTAATTTTATTTCTATTATCCAGCCTATTTTTAATCCCAATTTTGGGGACTCCTACAAACGTAGTCCTGGTTATACTGATTTCTTCATGGCGGATTCGAATAAAATATGGCTCATGTGGAATTCGGTTGTCTTTGATGCTTCGCCCATCTCTGTCTTGAATCAAATGTTGTTGATATATTCCCACGAATGACTTTTGTCTTCTGCCCTTTTTATGGAAGCATACAAGGGTAGAGAGGACACATCTTTGGGATGAAATGATAAATTTTGCTAGTTTCTGAGAGCATCATTTGGGTGTTGGGAGGTAATTTTAATGTAGTTTCAGCCTTAGAAGAATATAAGGGACTGTCTAGTCCTTTAGTGGGTGATATGATGGACTAATTACTGTTATGTTTTGGCAGTATCAAACTTCAAACACGACAATATTTTCCAAACTTGACAGTAATTACTCATATTTTGGGGGAAAAAACATGACATTCTTATTTTAAAATTTTCAAACTGTTTTGATCCTATTTGAGCAAGTTTCTCAAAAGAAAATAAGATATAGAAAATGGGAACTTTTGAATATGAGGGAGCTGGGGTCACACCCTCTCAGCGACTGTACAATATACTACGGTCCCTATTAACTGCAAGATTACCTCGGCCCCGATAAGACGTTAGCGCCTGCCAGAGCTATACCAAGCATGTGCCTCGCCAGCCTAACCCCTCTACAAATCGTATATGGGCGATAACAGTCAATTATCATTCGGTTACCACCGTCACCGTGCACGGTGGCTCAAAACCCTAGCGCTATCTCAGTCGATACTCTGAACTTTCCCAGTATCCTGTTTTCCTCTTTGATCTATAATAATCCGTGGGTTGTCCACTTGGCTTAATGATCGAATCGGGACTGCCAAACCCTAGGGCGGTTATTGGAGGCAACTTTGCCAATTCTAAGCAAATGCTAAATGACGCATCCGCCGGAATTTCGAAGACCACTCTGCCCTCAACACTCGACCGTTTTCGGTCCATGCTGAAAGAGAGAGATGAGGTCAGGCTTTCTTTGGAGAATGGCGTCGTTTCTCCCCCGACCATCGATGAGGTTGTGAGGCTTTACGAGATTGTGTTGTCGGACTTAACATTCAATTCGAAGCCTATCATTACTGATCTGACCATAATTGCCGGGGAGCATAGACAAAGGGGCGAGGGCATTGCCGATGCAATATGCACTCGTATTCTGGAGGTCTGTATTTGCAGTGTATTTTTTAGGCCATATAAGATGCCTTTCAATGTTTTTTCAATTTCTCCCATATTTTTGAATTGTATCAATGCCTAAGGGTGCTGAAAAGCGCAAATCGAACTTTTGGTCTCTTATCATTGGTTTATATTAGTAATTCAGGGAAAAAAATATTCGTTCCTACTTCAAAAGACTAAATCATCTGTAAGCAATCTGAATTAAACATTATCGAATAGCTACTTTTTAATAAGCTTATCATTAAATTTTAATATACAAGACTTCTATCTCTCTTACTTAAGAATCCTTATGTGATGTATAGTTTATCCCGAAAAGCAGATGTTTGTGCGGTTGAGAAATAAACATTAGGTCATGTATTGATTGGAATAATCATGTCTGGTTAAAATATGTTCCATAGTAGTGTGTGAATGAAACACTTCAGAGGAAGTGATTTTTATCTCAATCGCATCAGTTGCTTCTCCAACACCCAGCAGTTGCTCATAGTGCCTCAATTCTAAAGTATGAGGTCAGATGTTTAGGATTAGTCTATTAGTATTCAGCCTTTCAACAATGCATTTACTGGTTAATAATCAACTGCTCCTAGTTTTTATGCTGGATGTTTTTTTTTTGTTGAGTGCAGTTTTGAAATTTTCACATCATTTTATTTGCGCTGAAAATTGTGCTACCTTAATGGCTTCTTTGTTCCCTCATTAGCTATTCTTAGGCTTCAGAGTCGTGTAGTTATCTGCAGCTCATTAGTTTCATTCTCAAATTTGTCTTTAGGCCCCAGTTGAGCAGAAACTGCCATCTCTTTACCTTCTTGATAGTATTGTGAAGAACATAGGGAGGGAATACATAAGACACTTCTCTGCCCGTTTGCCTGAGGTGAATATTTAATCTATGTGCATTGGCAGCTCTATCTGATTAGTTTTCCACTCTTTAATATTATTTATCTGTATAGAGTCATATGGCATTGCATTTTGGTATCTTTAGGTTTTTTGTGAGGCATACAGACAAGTCCACCCCAACATGATTCCTGCCCTTCGCCACCTCTTTGGTACCTGGTCTACAGTTTTCCCATCACCTGTCCTCTGCAAGATTGAGGCTTGCCTCCAGTTTTCCCCATCCACAAGCCATCAATCTTCTGGATTGACGAACATGAGAGCTTCTGAGTCTCCTCAGCCAAGTCATCATGGAATACATGTAAATCCAAAATATTTGGAAGCAAGAAGGCAATTGGTAGGGCATTCAACTATTAGTTCTGTAGATTTGTAATTTCAATTATATAACCCATGTGCCATCCTAGTGAGACATATGGTGTAAAGTTGAGCAAGTAGTTAACTTTATGTGGTTGGGGTTCCCATTAACAACTAAACACTTTAGTAACAGTTAAGCTACTCTTTGCAGGTAGGCGCTGAAAAGTTGAGCTCAGCTGGTCATGCTGGACTTGTATCTTCTGACGTAGATGCTGTAAAATTGTTCCCAGCTGCAAGGTCATCCTCTCCTTATGGTGTAGGACGTGCAAGATCAATTTCACCACCAGTTGATGATTTTGATCTGGAAAATTCTCCAAGATTCACTGAAAGAGATATTCCATCTCATGCTAGGGTAGATTGTGGGCTTAGTGGAGTATTGCCTGGTGCTGATGATACAATTGACTGTAACAGAAATCATTTTCACGCTGATAGCATTCAACAGTTGGAAAACTCTGTTTCATGTAGTTTCAGAAAAGGAGTTTGCCCTCAGGGACCCAGAGCTCTGATTAATGCATATGGAATTGATGAAAGGGAAAAAGAATTTAGTTATAATCTTCATAAGCTTGGCCAGCCAGAAGCAAATGGTAATGGCAAAAGGGTAGGTGTTAGAACATGGATCAATACTGAAGAGGAAGAATTTAATTGGGAAGACATGAGTCCAACTTTGGGTAATGCTCATCGGCGTAATGATATTTCATCATCTATGCTACCACCTGGGAGATATTTTGCTCGTCCCCGTGTTGGTCCTCTTCAGGATGCATCTACGATCAATGAATCTAGAAGGAGCTTACCAGATCAGACCCTTCATTCTTTAGTTAATTTCTTCTCCACTAAACCATTGAATGATATTAACTTTGTTGCTGTTAACCCTACTTGCAATTGATTATTATTTGTTTCTTTTTTGTTTTTACGCATAGTTTGTAGACTATCATAATGATTGTTTATCATGAAGCCCTATGAGGAGCATTGCTACAATGATTATTAGTAAAAATAAATTAGCACCATGGTTGATATTGTATGGGGAATATGGTTGTCGTCGCTAACTATTTCACCTCATAGGGCCCAGAAAATAAACTAGAGAAGAAAAAAATAGTACTCAAGGCCAATTTTAGCCTCTTCACCTGTTTATTTTGTACTCAATTAAGACTTACATATTTGATGCTTTCTGCTGGTATTGTTTCCATTTTGAATACGGATCGTGATTTGATCCTAGAAGAGGATTTGTTTTGACAACCAATTTCTGAACTGCAGCCTGGAAGAGGGGATACTAGTAAGATCAGTGGGCTGTCTAATGAGGTTTCTCTTATTCCAGCTTCAAATTATAGTCAAGAATCTCATTATCCTGTTCAAAGTTCCCAACAGTTATCTCATCACCATATCAGGGTTGAAGGAGGCGGAAAGGCTCCCACAGTGCATCTCTCAGGAGCTGGACTTTCAACCGGAGAACACAAGCATCATTTGCTTGATCTTTTAAAAAATGTAGATGGAAACATTTGGAGGCCTCCAAGAAACAACTCTTCAACATCGAATCTTTGTCTTAACTCCCCAATTCAGGATGCTCAATTGGTTAATGTGGGGATTTCAAATGGTGCATGGACCTCACCGGGCATGCACAATCCTCAGTTATTGAATTCAATTCCTATGATCCTTCCTCGAAAGGGGACAAGAGATCAGTATGATGCAATGAAAGCAGTTTCTAGTCATGCTCGGAACGAGAGACATATGGATAACATGGACCTCAAACCACAGTTTGCGCTGCCCCGTTTGGGTGTTCAACATCCTGGTGCAATCATATCAGATCAACAAAGGTTTGGACAGATTGGGCTATCACAACCACCGCTGCATTGTCAGGATCATCTTCTGCATAATACTGGCCCACTAGGCTCTGTTGTCCCAACTCGCAATGTGGCACCAAAATTAAATTTTTTGTGCCCTCGTCAAGGTCATGGTGGTTCTATTATGCCAATAATGAATATCCCAAATCATACTTCTTTAGAGTTCCCTCGAGCAGCCCTTCGGCCGCCACCCATGACTAGATTTACAGATCATGCTTCTGTTGCTGCACCTCAAATGATGCCAACACTCCAAACTTGCGGTCAAAGCAGCCAAAGTGGTGCACCATCCCAAGGCAGCTCCTTTTCCAGTCTGATCAGCACCTTGATGGCTCAAGGTCTGATATCGTTATCACACCAAGGCACATCACAGGTATTGTATTTCCATCTTATGCTGTCAATTTCCTGGTTCAGTTTTTTACCAATAAATAAATAAAAACTTCTTACCTGTGCGATATGATGTTTAGGACTCTATTGGTACTGAGTTTAATGTGGAACTCCTTAAGGAGCGACATGAGTCAACAATAGCTGCTCTATACTCTGCTCTTCCTAGACAGTGCACATCATGCGGGATGCGTTTCCAGTCCCAAGATATCCATAGCAGCCACATGGATTGGCATGTAACCAAGAACCGAATATCTAAAAACCGGAAGCAGAATCCTTCTCGCAAGTGGTTTGTAAGTCTCAACATGTGGCTCAGTAGTGCAGAGGCTTTGGGCACCGATGTGGTTCCTGGATTTCTTCCTGTCGAAGATGTCGTGGAGAAGAAGGATGGCGCTGATGAACTTGCTGTTCCTGCTGATGATGACCAGAATGCTTGTGCACTGTGTGGGGAGCCTTTTGATGATTTCTATAGTGATGAGACTGAAGAGTGGATGTTCAAGGGCGCTGTCTACATGAATGCACCACAAACTTGGGGGCCAACATCCGGGACAGATCGGTCTCAGTTAGGACCAATTGTGCATGCAAAATGTAGGTCCGAGTCAAGTGCAGATGGTTCGAAGAAACACATTGAGGTAAGTCAAGCCTCTCACATGAGATGATGAGATAATTCCCACTGAGATAAACATGCTAGTGGTTCCAGTTGGTCAACAGTGTGTATAAATCTTAATTCAGTTTCATCTACAGGTTTATTATACAGATGGTTGAAGTATGGGAAAACAACTGCGCAGTTAACATTAGTAGATGAGCTTGTTAGGTGCTTTGTGTAATATTATCCTGAGGGTCCATAATTGTCGGTTTCATTCATGTACTTGTACAGATGTTATTGTACCAGTCAGATGTTCTTTCACCAAAGAAGGTTACAAAAATAGATTTGCAATATTTCTCTGGCTTGCCCCTTTTCATTCAGAATTCTACCAATTTGCTGAATGGTTGTCGATTCATAATTTCCTGCTTATAGGTTCGGTGAGGTCTGAATTCAGGGGCTGTAACAGTTGAAATGGAATGTGTTCTCTCTTTTACAGTCTTCGTTTTGTATAATGCACATTTTCTGCGTTGGCAATAGCAGTTTTTGCAGGAGGATGCGTTTCCCCAGAGCCTCAGAGTCAGAGGTGTACTGCTGTATTTCATGCTGCTAATATCTGCTTTTTGAGTTTCCCTCCAGTTGATCCTTGAAGTATGGAAGAGCCACAAAAGTTGCAACTGGATGGGATTTGGCGTTTTGATCTGGTTTTACAGTTTTGGCTACATTATATTTATGCTCAATGCAAGAACATTCTACATAGTACACGTTTATGTGTTAAAAGCTGAAATAGCAATTTTGTTACAAGTCAGCAAGGATTAGGGGTCTTTGGTTTACTTATTTTTTTGTTCGTTTCATTGAAAATGATTAATGTTGTGACAGATAATATGCATACACAGGTCTACACCTTTGAAATCTGAGTTTTGTATGGGGTTTGAGCTAAATTTAAAATGGGAAAACAACTTTAAATAATAAAAACTATCTGGTATAATCCAAGACAAGAATACTTTAGCCACACGTTTTATTAATTAAAACATAAAACAAAACATACCAACGTGACCAGAGTCCAGAAACCAATGATTTAAAAACAAATTAAATGACAGTGGTGTAGCCATGTAGTGCTATTGGTCTATTGGATCATCTTATTTGTTTGTCCCTTCCACATAGGCTTGGACTCGGGTCGGTTCCGGTCCCGGGACTAGGGCTGTGCACGGGTCGGGTTCGGTCAGGTCGGGTTTGCAAACACTAAACCCGTTCGGGTTTTTTAATTTAAATACTAGGCCCGACCCTTTGATATTTCAAATCGTTTATTTCAGATATTTTTAAATCGGATATTATCGGATATCGGGTCGGGTTTCGGATATTTCAGTTATATTAAAAAAAATATAATTGGATAATTAAAGTGTTTAAATGCCACTTTGATAAAAATTGTACACACTAGTGCACTAAACATCCAAATTACACAAATTATTTAACACAAATTGCACAAATAATTACACAAACAATTGAACACAAGTATTAATTTAACATATTTAAAGTACACACTACATAATTTAATATATTTTAGATATTTCGGTTATATTAAAACACATTATAATTGGATAATTAAAGTGTTGGAATGCTATTTTGACAAAAATTGTACACACTAGTGCACTACACATTCAATTTACACAAATAATTTAATACAAATTGCACAAATAATTACACAAATAGTTGAACACAAGTATTAATTTAACATATTCAAAGTACACACTAACATATATTTCGGATATTCGGGCGGGTCGGGTTGGGATTTTACAAACCCTGCCCACCACCCGGTCTAGGCCCAATATTAATCGGATTTTCGGTTTCGGGTTTTTCGGGCCGGATATCCACTTCGGTTCGGATAATATCCGAAAAAAATATCGGGTTTTTCGGGTCGGGTTTTGCTCAGCCCTACCCGGGACTGGCCAGTTCTGGTCTCGGGACTGGCCGATCCATTTAATTGGGGCTTGGCACCAACCTTGTCATGCCCCAGACCGCATCTAAGCGCGTGTACAACCGCCGAATGACTAAGTGACGTCACTCGCAAGTCAACGTGACTTAATCATATAAGGCGTCCATGAACATCACAATTTAGATTGAACGAATAGCGGAAATACTTAATATCCAATCATGGGCCACACATGGCCAAAACGTGGGCTCGCAGGCCCAAAACAAATGTAATTATTATGAAGTATCCATGAGCATAGTTTATAGTTTAAAACAGTAAAGGAAGCACGAACCACGTCTTCCTTTAGATCACTTCATCGAGCAAGGTGTGAGTAGCAAGCTTGAACTCCAACCTGAACTGGTGGGGCCCTTCGAAGGGGTCAGTACGCGAATACCGAGCGAGCAGTAGGCTGAATGTAGCATAACTAATGTTTCAAGTATAAGACCCAAGCATAGGGTGATACATACACATATAGTTCTTTCCCCCCAAGTTATGAAATACTTATTAGTATATATACACTTGGAAATACCCGAAGGTCATTGTTTAATTGGGAAAATAGTAGTAGTCAATGTCCTTGACTTAAATCTCAACCCACCCATATACCTATGAGTGTATAGAACTCCTCCTGGTTCAAATCATTTTATCATGAGGACACCGCCTGATCCTGAATTACTAAACTGTAATATATGAGTTTTGAGGATACACACCCGATCCTTGGGTACTCCACCAGCATAACCGAGTTTTGAGGATACACACCCGATCCTTGGGTACTCCACCCGCATAACCGAGTTTTGAGGATACGCGCCCGATCCTTGGGTATTCCACCCGACCTATGATCTACCTCATATCATACTAGATATGGATTATATCATAATCAATAATCAAGACTAAACCAAGTCTTAAGGCCTAAGCATAATCATCCATGCAATTCATGCATTAAAAATCAACATATAGGCAAAACAACACTAAACTGGCGCCGATTTTATACCTAACCGGCGCCGGTTATTAATTAAATTAATAAACTAGCCAAGCCGAACCAAAACCGGCGCCGGTTTTGCCTATAACCGGCGTCGGTTACCCCCTGGGCAACCTAGTCAACATTTTCGTTGACTCGCCATTTCAAACCCGATTTGTGTCAAACTTGATCCCAACGTGTATTAAGTTATGACCAAACATTTTATGCACTTTTTATTCTTTAAAGCATCATATATGTTTTTATAAACATTTTTATATCATACTTCATTCATGATATCAATGGTTCATTTCATATAAGACTAATCACTTTGGCTAATCACATGTTTAAGCATCTTTTAAACATCATCATGAACAATATAACATTTACTTAGGTAATATCATAATTAACCCAAGAGTTACAAGACATTAAGCCGTCCACTCACCTCAAATGAACACTATGAAGTTCTACGTACCCTTCTCGGTTGAGCTCCGACGAAACTCCTGCGAACTTTGATAAACTCCGGAGATAATTCCGGCGACTCTTTCAACTCCGTGAAAGCTCTAGGAACACCTTAGACAAGCTCCTAACAAGGTTCTATCATCACAAAACCCCATATCAACACAAATAACCTATAAAGGTTATTTTCCGGCGAACCGGTCACTTTGGCTTCTAAGTCCGTTCTTGGACTTAGAACTACCTTCCAACCTCTCATCCTACATTTCTAAACATGTAGAGATATTCTAGGGGTTCCTCATATGCTATATAAGTCATATGGTAGATAATGAATGAAGGAAAATTTATTATAAGGTCATTACCTTAATACACCACACTTTTCCTCCTTTTTCCTTCTTTAAACTTCCTCCTTGGACCTTCTTGAGCTTGAGCTTATTCTTGGCTATGGAGTATGGAGTTGCAGAGCTTTCTGTCTCTCTTTTCTTGGTGCTGGACGAAATACTAGGTGAGGGAAAGGGGGGTGTGCTTCTCTTTGGTCTCTTTGAGTAATTAAGGGTGAGAGGGTCCCTTTGGATGTCAAGAATGTTCCCCCATCCCTTCAAGAGATTTCATCCAACCTTTGAAGCCAATCAGCCCCTATTGGTTGCTAAATTCGTGAGGTCGCCTCTACCCATGTGGGAGGTCATCCTAATATGTCCCAAAGTGTGCAATCGGACCCGATGTGGGCCCCACGTGGAATTTACTATTCACGCAAAAGTAATAACAAAAATTTACAACCTCGTAAACTCATTACTCAAAACTCAATGTTCAATACATACTTTACATAAAGGTAAATATGTTTGGGGACAGTGTTACAAGTCCCCCCCCCCCCCCCCCCCCCCCCCGATTTTCGTCTCCGAAATCAACGTGTCTAATCGAAAAGAAATGTGTATTGCTCCCTCATTGAGACTTTAGTCTCCCAGGTTTCTTCTTCAACTCGATCACTCCTCCAAAGTACTTTTACCATAAGAATCTCCTTGTTCCTAAGTTTCTTTACCTGCTAGCTCACTATCTTCACTGGTTCTACTGCATATTGCAAGTCCTCTCGGATCTCAACCAGTGGTTTCTCAAGAATATGTGACGGGTCTCGTACATACTTCTTGAGCATCGATATATGGAACACATCATGAATCTTCTCAAGTTCAAGTGTCAACTTGAGATGGTATGCCACGACCCCAATCCTTTCAAGGATTTCAAATAGACCAATGTATCAGGGGTTAAGCTTGCCCCTCGATATGAATCAGATGATACCTTTCCAAGGAGAAATCCTTAGGAAAACTTCACCCCCACCTCGAACTCCAACGGTCTCCGCCGTTTGTCAGCATAACTCTTCTACTGTTCTTGGGCAGTCTTGAGTCTATCACGAATAATCTTCACCTTAGCTTTGGTGATCTCAACAAGTTCTATTCCCTCAAGCTTGGCCTCACCAATCTCATCCCAGCATAATGGTGTCCTGCACTTCCTCCCATACAGTGCCTCGTATGGAGGCATGCCAATACTTGCCTGACAACTGTTGTTATTTGCAAACTCTACCAAAGCCAGGTGTTTGTCCCAACTCCCTTGGAACTCCAAAGCGCATGCCTTAAGCATGTGTTTCAAAATCTGTATCACCCGTTCGGATTGCCCATCCGTCTGTGGGTGGAAGGCTGTGCTAAACTTCAGTTTAGTACCTAATGATGCTTGAAACTTTGGCCAAAACCTGGATGTGAACCGTGGGTCCCTATCCAAGACAATAGATATCGGAACTCCATGCAATCTCACAATCTCCTCTGTATATAGTTTGGCCAACCTTTCAAGAGGATAAGTATTGTTGATAGGCAAGACGTGTGCACTCTTGGTGAGCCTATCAACCACTACCCATACCACATCATAGTTGTTCACCGTTCGTGGTAGCCCCACCACGAAGTCCATTGTCACATGCTCTTACTTCCATTCTGGAATGGTAAGTGGCTGCAAAAGCCCCGCTGGATGTTGATGTTCCGCCTTAACTTGTTGGCAAGTATGGCATCGACTCACATACTCTGCGATGTCCCTCTTCATACCTGACCACCAATAACTCTCCTTCAAGTCTCGGTACATCTTGGTACCTCCTGAATGCATAACATATGCCGAAGAATGAGTCTCCTCTAGTATAGACTTCTGGAGCTCCTCATCCTTGGGTATACATACACGATCTTTAAACAACAAAAGACCATCATCACGTACCCGAAATTCTCAACGGGCCCCTCAAGGATCCGTTCACGGATCTTCTGACATTCATCATCAATGCCCTGACACCTATTGATCTCACCAGTAACGTAGGTCTAACCTCGAATCGAGCTATGAGGGTCCCACTCGTGGACACTTCTACGCGCGCCCTTAATGCTCGTAGACATGTGAGTAACGTCCCCGGCGTACTTTTCCTGCTCAGTGCATCGGCCACCACGTTGGCCTTTCGGGATGATAGTCGATGATCAAGTCATAGTCCTTGATCAATTCCATCCATCTCCTCTTTCTCATATTCAACTCTTTCTGAGTGAATACATACTTTAAGCTTTTATGATCGGTGAAAATGTGACATGTCTCCTTGTAGAGATAATGCCTCCAAATCTTCAGTGCAAACACTACCGCCCCCAACTCAAGATCATGGGTAGGGTAGTTCACCTCATGCTTCCTCAATTGCCTAGAAGCGTAGACAATCACCTTACCGTTTTGCATCAACACACATCCAAGCCCTTGGATGCTAGCATCGCTGTAAATATCGTACCCTATCCCCTGCTTGGGTAGAGCAAGAACTGGTGCTTCGGTAAGTCATTTCTTTAGTTCAAGAAACCCTTTCTCACATTTATCATCCCATAAGAACTTGACCTCTTTCTTTGTGAGCTTCGTAAGTGGGGATGCCAACACGGAGAATTTCTCAACGAACTTACGATAGTATCCCGCTAAGCCAAGGAAACTACATATTTCTTTCACATTCTTGGGCCGTTCCCAATTAATGATAGCCTTTATCTTTGCATTGTCCACCGCAATCCCCGAACCATAAATGACATGACCGAGAAAGCCAATCTCTTTGAGCCAAAATTCACATTTAGAGAACTTGGCAAAGAATTGTTTTTCTCTTAGTCGTTCAAGTACAAGCCTCAAGTGATGTTCGTGCTCCTCCTCGTTCTTGGAGTATATCAAGATATCATCAATGAATACTATCACAAATTGATCTAAGTATTCACTAAACACACGGTTCATCAAGTCCATGAATGCTGCAAGTGCATTGGTTAACCCAAATGGCATCACAAGAAACTCGTAGTGATCATATCTAGTGCGTAATGCACTCTTAGGTATGTCACCCTCCTTGAACTTCAACTGACGATAGCCCAATCTCAAATCGATCTTTGAGAACACCATCGCCCCCCGAAGTTGATCGAACTAGTCATCAATCCTCGGTAAAGGATACTTATTCTTGATTGTGACTTTGTTCAACTGTCGGTAGTCTTTATAAGACGTCTTCCTTCATAAGACGTAGGGGAGCTTCGGTGAACAAATCTGGGAGAGCAGACGGCGAGATCGGACCATGATTGGGCACTGATGATGGAGCTTTGTCGGATTCATCATCCCAGCGTTGTTAGGCAGGCGGACGATCGATCCATCGGTCATCCAAGAGTCCTTCTGTTGATGGGGGGATCTCCTAAACGTATTAGAAGGGGAAGATGATTCAGTGAGCAATATTCCTTTGCTCATTGGTATAAGAGCTGATCTACTATTAAATCATCATACTGCTATGGCCGCAATGATCGCGACAGGTTTGTAGTGTTCAATAATCGTGGATTTAGTTATCTAGAACTTGTTTCTTAAGAGCCTAAGAGGTGATTCGACTAAAATGACTGAATTTTCAGAAAATTCCTAAAGGAAAATTGTTTGCTAAAGTCAATTTCAGCCAAATAATTAAGTCAAATAATCTTCACATCGATTCTGCTTCCAACTAAGAGAGCGCCTTTGACGATTCAATACCTGACCTATTCGCTTTCATTTTCCAAATGTAACATTTCATAAGTTTCAGGTTCTATGGTTTTGACAGAACATATTTTGGGAATAAGCAAGAATATTCAACCATGTTTATTTTTCATTCCTGTGTATCATTGGTAGCCCATTGGTTTTTCGACATTGATTAAAGTGTGGTTTGATGCATGCCTAATTTCCTGTTAACATTATAGTTGCATAACATATTATTCACTTTTCAAATGTGGCAATGTGTATTTGCGCTAAAAAAGAGAGATTATACTGTGCTGGTTTAATTTATTTCGGGTGTTCATGTGCTGGTTTCCAACCTAGATAAAAATTACGTGTGGTGCAATATAATTACTTCTGCGAAATTAGCATATCTACTTAATATGAGCTATAAATGTGTAGTTCATTTGAGCTGGATTTGTTTAACTGAAAGTTTTCTGTTTTTCTTCCAAAAGTTCACTAATATGGTGAGTTAATGTGCAATATAATGTGTGTATGAGTGTTAGTGTAAACCGCTCATAACTACAATGACTGGGATCGTGCAAGAGTTCAATCATGTTGCACAGATAGCGAAAAAGATCAAGCTAGTTGAATTGGTTTCCTATGTAAAATATATAATAGGAAAATTTGAAAATAATAATCCCAACTATTGCTGGTCCGATCCGCCGACAATAATCCCAACTATATAGACCATCCACCAATAATGGTCCATGATCAGATATTACCTCATATAATAAGTGAATTTTAATAGAAATTAAGCGTAAAAATTAAAAGTTGAAATTATTTATAGGGATTACTTGCTATATCTCTTCTCATCCACTTTAGAAACTACAAGAATTTATTTATAGGGATTATTATTGGCGGAAGGTCCCTAAAGTTGGGATTATTCTGAAATAATCGATAGTTGGGATTATTATAAGCGAACCACCAATAGTTGGGATTATTACTATCAATAAAGCTATTTAACGTATTTGTATCAGAATTGGGTAAGTGTAATTATCGGTAATCCCAAATTAGATATTTTACTTTAATATCAGATTCTATGAAGCTTGCATGAGCTAATGTGCTTTAGCATTAGGCTAATGTTCAGAAAAGCTCAAAGGGAGAACAACATGGCTACAATGTGTTTGATGAACCTATACTCATTTAATCTTGCTAGAAGCTACTTTCTTTAAAGTGGGTATACAATGCTTTAATGTTCATGAAAAAACATAGCTTCAAGGGTGTTAGACTTAATCTTGCTTGTTATAATGTAAGTCTTAACGTTGTAAAACTTAATGAGATGAATCATGAACTAGTCTTTTACCCGTGCGTTGCACGGGGTGCCGAACTAAGAGATTATCTAAGAAGTTGTCAAATAGTTTCAAGGCTTATGCAAGTGCACATAAATTAATTCCATTGTTAACTTTATTTCAAAATGACATTCTTGAGTTTGAGCATGCATCAATCATTTTAACATCCCAGCATGCTCAACATACACATTCATTTTAAAATTGTCTCCTGAGAAAGCAAATGCTCAAGCAATGAATGAGCGCGAGTCTTGCGGCCTGCCTTCTCCCGTGATCGATTAAAACTGAATCCAATTTGACTTGTAGTCTTCTATTTCAAAGATTTGATTACTCATAGCATAGTTTTAAGCTCATACCTATTACAATTGATTATTCATACATATTTTGAGAAATAGCATCTAATAGAGTAATGGGCGAAACTATAAACGCTCATAGTTGCCACCTACTTATCTAATAGACGAAACTTCTCTTTTGGACCGATAGAAGCTAATTGGCAAAACTTTTCACCTGAAGCAATAGAAGCAAAAACGACCCGTGTCCACTTTTAGAATCCAACCAAAAAAACTCGAGTATACAAATTACGCCGAAAAAATTGGGAGGAGGCGTGACAGTATAGTGTCGATTGATATGATAAGAACTAAACGAAATAGATGAGAACTAAAGAAAAATTACTTCTCATATTCCATTTCAAAAAACATGGCTTGAAAATACTAAATAAACTAAATGAACTAAAGAAAATTGGGAAAAGGTGCAAATAGGCCCATGTACTAACAAAAAAAGGTCAAATAAGCCCTTATTTAGGAGGCTTTGTCCAGCCGTCGCCATTTGGAGTGGTTCCCGGTGGATTTTTTTGATGAACTTTTTTGATCATCTTATTCATCAAGTCTAGTTTGTTCATACCAAATTTCAGCTAAAACTTCAACCGGGAAGGCATTCAAATGAATTCTTGAAGATAACTGCGCTTCTAACTGCACAGTTAATTTCAAGAATTCATTTGAATGTCTTCCCGATTGAAGTTTTAGCTGAAATTTGGTATGAATAAACTAGACTTAATGAATAAGATGCTCAAAAAATTTCATCAAAAAATTCCACCGGGAACCACCCCAAATGACGATGGCCGGACAGAACTTCCTAAATAAGGGCTTATTTGACCTTTTTTGGTTAGTACATGGGCCTATTTGCACCTTTTCCTAAGAAAATTCATTATTTAACATAGTGACTTGCAATAACTTAAACTTTACTATTATACTATGTACTAACTATTCAAAAAGATAGTCATCTACATCTAACAAAAAAGAACTTTTAAATTTGAAAGTAAAACAAACCAAAGCTGTTAAACCGCTCTACCTTTTGCTTCTTGTCGCTTCAGTTCACCATCTTAATAATTGAGCCGCCCTTCAACATTGCTGGCATCCGGCGCTTGTGAATTGTATACTCTGAATTGTTCATATTCAAAAAGTTTTACATAGAGTGAGAATGGAATCTTTCATAATGGATTAAATGACACTAATCTACTTTGATGTATTAGTTTTCGTTTTCATGAAATGATCAAAAGCAATAAATGCCAAAAAGGAATACATTCATTCTTTGGCGGATTGATAGTTTTGGACATCAAAATAGTTAAAATCTGTAATAATAATTGAAAAACAGATTGAAATTAATCCTTGAAATAATGAATGCAAACCAAAATAGTTAAAATACTTACCTCCTAGAAAAATAGGTTGAAAAACTAATTTTTGGCTTGAGAATATGATGGAATAAAGCAAAATGGCTCATTAAATTGTCCGCGCTTCTTCGTTATGAAGCAGCAGTTAGTCTACGCAATTTTGGACGCAATTTTCACAATGGTTCATCTGGAAACAGTCTCTCTGTGCTTTAGTACAGAGTAAGACTGCGTACATCCGACCCCCCTTACCCTACTGTGGGTGGGAGCCTTTGCGGCACTGAGGTAATGATAATGATGATGATGACTTACCTCCTAAAAAACATTAAGGGAAAACAAAAAAGCAAACATGAAAATGAAGAAGAAAATAAATTTGAAACAAAGACCAAAAACAGACAGAAAAATCGAAAAAAGAAAATAAAAAAGAGGAAGAAGAGAGCAAAACCCGAGCCGTTGAGATGAAAACTAAAAATACACTATGAAAATAGGAAAAGAAAACAAACCAAACATGTTAAACCGCTTTACCTTTTGCTTCTTGTCACTTCAATTCATCGTCTTAATAATCGAGCCGCCCTTTAGCATTGCTGGTGTCTGGCACTTGTGAGTTGTGAACTCTGAAATGTTCATATTCAAACAGTTTTACAAAGAGTGATAATGGAATCAAAACCCTGATCTTTCTTTTATGCTTTGAGTTTCTATCAGCTCTATGAGGCTTTAGTTCTGTTCTAAGAGCAAATTGAATCTTTCATAATGGAAAAAAATGACAGTAATCCACTTTCGTGTATCAGTTCTAATTTTCATGTAATATCAAAAGCAATAAATGCCAAAAAGGAATACCTTTGTTCTTTTAATGAATTAATAGTTTTGGACATTAATTATACATGACGGGATCAAAACCAAAATTTGTAATAATATTTTAAAAACAAATTGAGATTAATCTCTGAAATAATAAATGCTTACCAAAATAGTTAAAATACTTATCTCGTGCAAAACATTAAGGAAATATAAAAAAGCAAACCCAAAAATGAAGAAGAAAGCAAAAACATATCTGAGGCTAAATTAAGTGAAAATTACGTGAAAGGTGCAGATCTTTTTAAAAGAAAGCAAGCCTGGTTGAGATGAGCTTTTCAAACCTGAGTCATGACAGAAGAAGTTGAGAGGGGCAAACTCACATGAAGTCAAAATACGTTTCGTAAGAATAGATCCGATGAAGAATACCAGAAGGCTTAACTCGTTCTTTAGGAGAGGTTAAAAAAACTCTTTCAAGTAAGTGGAGTAGCAGACCTAATCGAATTCCATAAATACCCTTCTCATGGGCGGGAAAGTTAATTGAAAACAAAAAATAGACAGAAAAAAACGACAGGTCCATTTGTAACATCACCAAAAAGTTAAACTAAAGGGAAGTGAGCCTCCTGGTTTGTAAGGTTCTAAAATAGATTGGTTGATTTGGTTAGTTTGTCTTTCAACATTAGTTTTATTTGATGCTTAAATGTCTTCTTGAATTTGCCAGCCTATTCTCTCTATTATGCTTTGAGTTTCTAACAGCTATATGATATGTTGGTTATGCTCTAAGAGAAGGTTGAATATTTCATAATAGAATTAAGTGACACTAATCCACTTTCATTTATGAGTTCTCATTTTCGTGTAATATTAAAAGCAAAATCCGTAATAATAGTTAAAAACATATTGAGATTAATCCCTTAAATAATGAATTCAAACCAAAATAGG